CACACGGACTGTTCAAAACCAATAGTGTTGAAATGCTCGATATATTCACGGATAAATCTTTTCTTATTTTATTAAAAATACTTTACTAAAATATGATTTTTTGTATATGAAAGACTTATAATGTTAACTGAAAGACTACCAAATTTCGTGAAGATATACACACTATATTAAAATTTAGTAGTATCAGATGTATAAAAACTTTAAACGAGTACAAAGAGGTCACGTGGTCGGTCAAATCGACCGATCCCGCATTGAGAGAATTTAACGCAAGAAGTTATAGCAGTTATCATAAAACTGCCTTGTTTTATTAATATGACATTCCACCATGTATAAAACGGAACATATTCAAATCGTGATTTGTGAAACTTGGAAATGGAAGTTTTATTAACGTAAAAGAAAGAAGGCACTACCAAAGGGACCGCTTAGAACCCAAAACAGTTATCACAATTAACAATAACAATGCCATAGAGCTGGTTCATGGGGTTTCACATGAAACTGCAAAAAATAATGAAAATGTTCCGTGATTCTTGCACAGAATGATAGCAAGATATTTATTTCAAACCATTTTACTCTGTTTAGCTCTTTTTTAAAGTTTTCTCTTTAGTTCTACATAAATAACAATATTTTCATCCTTCACGGAAAATAGCGATTTCTCTCTGTTTTCTTCCACTCTAATGAACGGAAGATAAACTACCTCTACATAATAAAAAGACTGAAGTTTAGATTATAGTGGTACAATAAGAATTACGCTACAGTATACTACCAACCCTTATGGGACTCTGTGCAAGAGGCAATAACAACAACAACAACATTCCGTGGCAGTAATTTAGGTTTAAGATCTTTCAATACTCAAAGAAAATTCGAAGCCTTAAGGACAACCTTGAATAGTCAGAAACTTTTGTTTTTCTTCACCACATATCAAAAATATAACCTTTTTTTTTCTTTTCTCACCTGTCTTGAATCTACGTGATAGGTTTTTGAGCAGAGGTGGATTCAGGTCATAAAACGTTTTGAAAAGAAAAAGTATTTTTGTATTAGGCCTAAGGCTATCTTTTGTTGAAGTGTATCATGGGGAGAATGGTCCTAAAGCTAATGCTTTGAACAAAGGCACACAAACATCATTACCTTCTACTGCAGCTTCGCTTGACTTTAATTATGTTTTCACAGGGAGACATTCTGTTGTCTCTTTTTCATTCTTTCTTTTTTCCTCTTCCAAACAATTTTCATTCGATTGTCATTTCTTTTTTTTTCTTTTTTTTTGTTGGCGGATTGACTTGAAACTTGGTAGGATTTTATCTTTTTTCAATGCTTCAAAATTTTTTTGTCACAATTTTTTCTTCTTTAAATATTTTATGGGGTCAAAGGTAAAACTACACAAAAATGTATATTTTGGACTACAGTGCTGTCATATTTACAGCAATCCAGATGAAAATTGACACAAATATAAATTTTCATGTGTCCAACATATTGACTTACAAAATAGTTGGGGTTGCTCATTTTGAGTCTTTTAAGAGTGTCAGAACTCATAAAAAAAGTATACTTTTGGAGTTTTTGGTCAATTACTCGGACATATTTTGACCAATTTACATGGGATTTGTACAACGATGCTTTTCTACAGGTCCCACATAATTTGTTTCACAAAGATGGTGGACTTACTCATTTTTAGTAGTTATAAGGGGTCAATATGCCACAAAAAGCATACTTTTAGGTGTTTTTTTTGTTTGTTTTTTACAATTACTTCGCCGTATTTCGGTCAAATTACATGAGATTCGGTACAAAATATATTCTTTACAGTTCTCATACATATACGTAAAAAATATATATAGATATACCTATTTTTGGTCATTTTAGCGGGAGTCAAAAGGTTAAAGAAACCCATAATTTTAGAGGTTTTGGCCAACTACTAAGCTATATTTAATTTACGTCAATTTACGTGAGAATTATATATTCTTTGCAGGTCCCAAACAGAGATATAGACACTTTTGGATTTTTTTGTCTTTTGCTCAATTTTTCAGCAAGGAAAGTACAATGGGGTTTTCGTGAACTATTCACGAGTATGTCAACCAACTTACATAGGATTTGGTACAAAGATACCTTCTTGCAGGTCCCAGTCAGTGATTTAGACAGATTTTGATTTTTCTGGGTTTTTCATGATCTTTCTGGTGTCAAAATTGACCGTGATGGCATTGCGTGTCGGATATATGCTGCAATCGCTCGCGAATGTTGGACTCTTTAATTTTGCTATGCCTACTTGTGACACTGAATAGCAGAAAAACAAGAATAAAAATAACATCAAGAATTAATGGCGTATTTGCTTGTTTAAGGCTTATTTCTTATATCTACCTCTCCATAATAAAAATGTATTTCTAAGTAATACAACTTAAAAGTAATTAACTAACTAACCCAAAAAACATTTGAAGTGTCAGTTACTCGATAAGACTAGACAAAGAAGGAAAGTTATAATTTAAACAGAACCTAAATTCACCAAATATGGTTTGGTTTGTTATGAATTTCGCGCAAAGCTTCACGAGGGCTATCTGCGCTAGCCATCCCTAATTTAGCAGTGTAAGAGGGAAGGCAACTAGTCATCACCACCCACCGCCAACTCTTGGGTTACTCTTTTACCAACGAATAGTGAGATTGACCATCACATTATAACGCCCCCACGGCTGAAAGGGCGAGCATGTTTGGTGTGACGGGGATTCGAACCCGTGACCCGCAGATTACGAGTCGAACGCCCTAAACGCCATGCCGGGCCTACCAAATATGACAGTCTTCCAAAGAATGCTAAAAACAGGTAGATTTTCTAAAAGCAGAACATAGTTAATTTGTCAAATTAAAAACGCACTGTCCGTAATCCATATATGGTAAATAGAAAGTCTATCAAAAAATCAATAATTTATTTATGTTAACACCGTTAGATGTTATTTGATTACAATTGTTGAGTGCATATGCACGTTTATAGTTTTTGTTTTGTTTTTTGCAGTGGAAATTTCAAACTATTGAAATTAGAAACTTATTTTTCGTGGATGAGCAGCAGTTACTGATTAACACGATTATCTGTTATTAGTAGTAGAGAGAAGTTATCAAATATTTAATGTAATAAATTATACATTTGACATTATGTAATATAATGTTATTTGGTTATTACTTCACTATTATAATTAATCACTAATCAGCAGGAACGTACACAAGGGGCTAAGCAGGGGGTCCAGGGCCCCCAGTAGCTCTACACATACGAATTGGGTCAGTTTGGTGAGTGTAATGCTGTTTATTTCTATGAATATGATGTATTTGTGCGTGATGGTATTGTTTATATATATATAATATGTGTGTGTGTTTAACCTGCCCCCTCCAATAACGGTCAAATTAAAATTCCTGCGCACAGCCCTGATTATCAGTTATTACATTGGGTTTGTGGATGTGGTCTTTGTTTGGAGAAACCCCTCCATAGTCCTAAAATAAACTGATAGGCAACAGAATGAATAGTTCGATTTCGGAAGCCATTTCTTTTTACTACGGGAAGAGCTGACGCTAAGTGAAAGTGGTGTTCAATACTGATTGCTTGTATTTAGTAAACTTTAATGACAAAATACGCTCACGCTCGCTGTCCCTGAAGCCAACAAATGAAATGCCACGACCACTATTGAATCACGCATCTTGACGAACTTTCCACAAACCTTCCGCTATACGCGAATGCCATCTTCCAAGATCATGTTTAAGCAGATCAAAGGTACAAAGATTCATTGAATCTGAATTAGGGGCGAATGGTAGTGTGTTATGCATGGTATATTTAGTGTTTCTTCAGTTCTTTAGATTTTTCAGGTGAACCTTTCATGTCCACCTAGAATTTTCAAAAGTTTTGCACATGCACGCTTCACGATGTGTGTGTATGTGATTTTTACAGTAGAACGTTCAAGGAATATGATTAAATTCCTTTCGCTCTGGCTGTTTATTGTTCTAGATTTTTCCACTTTAGTGTCATATGCACTTCCTTGTGGGAAAGATTGTTGTTTGTTAGAACACACCAGGAAGGGAAGGACAGTGATCTTTACCATTGGTAGGTCGGATAATGCCTTAAAGTAAAAGTCTCCCTTATTTTCCTATTGGAATGAACGTCTGACGTGGGTAACGCATGTGCAATGAGAGGGATGGCATTATAGAATATTGTATACAATGATATGCTCTCATAGTCTAAAACAAATAACGGGCTACAAGTTAACAAATTGTTAAAGACAAATAAGTCTTGATCTCCAGCGAAACACTGCCTATCGTCAGACTTTACTTGTTAACTCTACTTTGTGTTGTTGCCCAATAAATCTTTATATTCACTTTCCTTTTACATTGCAACTGGTCTTTGTTCAACTCAGTCAGAGTTAGATAATTCATATTTAGCTCCATGGTACTTATCTTGGTGTTTCCCAAGTTATTATGCACTAATCTTAATGTAAGGTCATCAGTGCATCTGATAATACCAGAGAAGGTATTGGGTCAAACACAATTAGTGTGATTTTATATTTTTGGTCGTCTTTTTTCACGAAAACAACCGTATTTATTATGAGGAGCGGTTATTAGCCTTCAAATTATTATTTATTATTTTGCTCCTATTGACTCAGCAGTAAATATGCGGACTTATAACACCAAAAACTTGGTTTCGATACTCTTGATGGGCACAGCACAGGTAGCCCATTGTGTAACTTTATGCTTAACAACAAACAAATAAACAAACATAGCAAATTTATTATTTTATTAACGGTATCAGAATATAGGCTAGCATCATAACTGAAGTTGTTTTGGTTTTTTCCTGCAGAGGTTTCTTTTTTCGTCAACCATAGTATTCACTTTACTGATGAGAGCATTGTTCCGGTTTGTCTTAATGTAGTACCCGAGTTCTTGCTCTCTTAAGCTATATGTTGTGGAAGCTTCTCTGCTTCCATGGAGAACATTGAAAGCTACAATTTCTTTAAAGTGTTGTGTTCTTTGACCTTACATTGTTTAAGAATTTCGCTATACAAATATTCTTTTTCTGAAAAGTCTTCTTCAGCCATAAGTCTGACAAAAATAGCAGCTTTGTACTGTTGAGACAGGAGCGTAACATGCATTGAGGCAGTTATCTGGAAAAATTAACGCAAGAAAATCGCGTTGTCATAATGAAGACATTCAGCTCAAGAGTGTAGTGTTGAATTAAACAACTTCTAATGTTGCAGGAATAGAGTACAGGTCAAATATACTTTATAATCCTTTATAACACTCTATAATTTGGAAACATTTAAGTCTGGAATCTTGGGAGTGTAATATTTATTAAAAATACCTCTGTTGATGAACGATATAGGGAAGGCATTTCTAATCGAGTATTTTTTTTATTGATTACTTCATCAGAAAAATTACAGTAAAAGCTAATAACTTTATAAAGGAGCAGGAATAGAGTACAGGTCAAATGTAATTTATAATCCTGATAACTTTTTATTTGTATTTGGTTCTTGCCTCGATAAAAATAATTTCCTAGCTTGTTTGTTTTGAAGTTAAGCACAAAGCTACACAATGGGCTGTATGTGCTCTGGCCACCACTGGTATTGAAACCCGGTTTCTAGCGTTGTAAGTCCGCAGACATACCGCTGTGCCATTGGGAGGCAATTTCCTAGCTAAAACCCTTCGTATGATCACGAATTTGCTGTGAACCAAACATACAGACATTAAGTTGTTCGTGGTACCATCTGTAGCGACAAGAACTACATTTGCAAATGCAAATCGTTGTTATAAAGTGCAATTAAAACGTTATCTTAGGAATAAACGCCCACAAAAAACAACAACAAAGTTTTGCTTGATTTATAACAATTTTACTTTCTAGTTTATTCCTTCTAATAATAACAGAAAAAGCCCCCTCCCCCCAAAAATAGTATGTTATTTTGAAGGAATATTGTATGCTACAAGTTTTTCAATGTGTTCCTCCTTTTCTTTCGCTATTAGTGGTTGCTGATTTTTGCGGCTACAAGTTGGTATTATTTCCCTGAATTTGAGCGTTCAAAAACTTTATTTAAAAAGTAGTGATTAATGTTATCGTGGAAGGGAAGAAAGGGGTAGAACCTGCAAATGTATTAGAAACACTTAAAGCAATATTTAGGTGCAGTTGACCTAGTTATCTAATCGTTTCACAATGGTTTCAAAGTTTTCATTTTTTGCTCATCTCAGGCATGATATGTTGATCATAGTTTGAGATTCAGTGGTGTTGTTAAGGTCTGGTTTCTGAACGATAGAGGGAAGGCATTTCTAATCAAGTATTTTTTTTATATTGCTTACTTCATCATGAAAATTACAGTAAGAGCTAGTAAGTTTATAAGGTTATTAAATTCATATCCCCCAGTGACTCAACGGAATGTATTTAGGCTTACGACGCTACATATCTGGTTTCGATACCCATGGTGGACAGAACACAGATATCCCATTGTGTAGTTTGCGTTTAGCAGCAACCAACCAAATAAATTCATTTTGTAACAATCAGGTACGAGTGTACTGGAATGACAATACAAACCAAAAAATGATAGAGATTTTATGCATCAATATCCCACTTAATGAAGTAATCAATATTTAAGTAGTCATTTATTATTTCTTGATAACACTAAAGTTAATGGCTTAACGAACATTCAATTCACAAAAACTGCTTGAAATTTGGCCAAAAAATCTCACTTTGTGTTTAATAATAGGACATGTGATCAAATTTGTGGTGTGGCCATGGGCTTAACGCTTGCTCCCATCTTAGCTGATTAGTTGTGTCTGATCCTAATTGGTTGAGTTCCTTTAGCCTATAAGAGATACGTTATTGACACTTTTATTCTATTCAAAAAATAAAGCCATGTCGAAAAATGTCAAGAATATTTAAGTTCTAACTGCAGGAATACCAAGTTTACAGTTGAAGAACAAATTGAATCGAAATTACAGTTTAATCAATTGATTTGTTTAAGAGTAAAAAAAAAACATACTGACAATACCTTTACAGGTATATTACCATTCTTTTTACAGGCATGTAGAATCACAGCAACAAAGCAGGAAGTGATAGGTTTACAAAATCCGAAATTTTGGGAGACTGCTACGGGAGCCATTGCTGTTAACTATTCTGCTTCCTCCTCATCTCCACCTCGCTCAAAGTAAGTGTAATATATCTCATCAAGGAAACTTAATATTGGTATTGTTATGACTACTGACATAAATTTCCAAAGTATAATCACTAATGAAATTAAATTGTTTATTTGTGCATGTAAATTTATCCAATAATGACAAGTATTGGTAAGTCTGACAATAAATTATTGGTTAGGGAGCGTGACTAGCAATCTGCGGGTCGTGGGATCGAAACCCGTAACCCAACATGCTCACCTTTCAGAAACAGGGGCGTTATAATGGTCAACCCAGTACTCGTTGGTAAAGAGTAGTCCAAGAGATGGCGGTGGGTAATATTGACCAGTTGTCTTCTCTCTAGTCTATCATTTTAAAATTAAGGACAACTAGTGCAGATAGCCCTCGAGTAGCTTTGCGCGAAATTGAACAAACCAACCAACAAAGACATTTTAAAAATTATATAATTTTTTTATAATTAAACACTTTTAAATTAAACATTTTTAACAGTAAATAATAACTAGGAAATCAGCCACGACTATATACTAATCTAAACAATGGGAAACGTTTCTTTGTGTATGAATTACTAAAATACTTTGCCAAATTAACTTGGGCAAAACAGACATAACGGGGTATCAAGTTATACCTTATGACTGCTTATATGTTGTAATTTTTTTTGTGTGCAGTATGTTAAACGAAACACAGGGAGAGTCTTGCGCAAATCAACATTAACTTTTTTCGCTCTCAAGCTGAGTGTATCTTTCATATGTGATGTTCTAAGCGTCTTCTGGTTTCTAATGGTATATATACATATAATGTGCTTCAAATACGTTTATTTTCCAAAAATACTTATATACATATATTTTTTCCCCCAGGAATTTGTTGGTTTTTCTTGAATGTAACAAGTCTGCAACAGCTCCTGTTTTGAGAGTAAAAGGATGTGACCCTTGCCAAGGCAATGCCTCTACGAATTTTGTAAGCTTTTCTTTTTTAGATCGTCTCTGGATTGGATGATGAAATCTTAGTCATTCATATATTTCGTAAGCGTTATCTGTTATCATGCATATTCTAGTTATGTTTAATAGTTAATGAACTAAGTAAAGTTTTATACTTTTCAATATAAATTTGGTTAAAATTTTCTTAAAGATAGATTATTTTAGAATATATGCGTCACATGCCCGAAACGTTAACTTATTTCCAATAAGTGGTCAAGTGTTTGTTTGTTTGTTTAAGAATTTTGGCGGAAAGATACACAAGGCCTATTTGCTCTAGCCTTCCCTAATTTTGAAAGGAAAAACTAGATGGAAGGCAGTTAATCAACAACGACCACAACCAACACTTGGACTACTTTTGTCTGACTGAATAGTAGGGTTTAACCTTCACTCTTATAGGGCACTCACGACCCCAAAGTGCGGGGCGCGTTGTGTGCCAACGAGAAGCGAACATTGAATCTTGGATTCAAAGTCTGGGCACACTAACCACAAGGCCATGCTCGATCATGTACGAATTAAGTCCAGTATATGAGATTTCTCTAATAGCTCAGTAGTTATGGGTATCTATGATTGCACTATTTTCTAAAAGAATTATCAATTAAATAAAATATAGGAATAGAACGAATTATAAAAAAATCAGTATTACATATTGCATACAGAACATTCGACTGACAGTGAAACAAGTTCCTAAATTCCCTTTACCTCTCTACCAGAACAAAATGTACCAAGTTAACGAGAGCTTGTGGCAACTTACAATGCTCTAAAAAGGTGTTGTTGTTTATAAAAAAAATCAGTATTACATATTGCATACAGAACATTCGACTGACAGTGAAACAAGTTCCTAAATTCCCTCTACCAGAACAAAATGTACCAAGTTAACGAGAGCTTGTGACAAATTACAATGCTCTAAAAAGTATTTAGGTAATTAGGCTTTGACGTATGAAACAGAACTGTGGCTTCGAATTTCAATTTGGGCAGAACACTTAGACGGATAGATAAATAGGAGTTCAAGACTCACAAACACAAAATTATAAACGATAACTTTAATCTATGTGCTCGAGAAGTAGAATAAAAATATTTCAGTTGATATTAGGGCTCATTGTTTGTTTGCTTGTTACTAAGCACAAAGATATACAATGGGCTATCGTTATTCCGCCACCGTGGGTACCGAAACCCTATATTTAGCATTATAAACCTTCAGACTTAACGCTGGGCCACCGGGAGACTTGGGCTAATGAAAGAAAAAAGTTAATAGATGGTTTCTTTTGTTAGTCATGCAAATCAATGTTTTGTACGCTAAAAATGTGAAGAACAAACAAATTTAAATTAATACACTTGTGTGAGTTTTTATTTCACATACAGAAATTTTTGCCCCCCAGTGGCACAGCGGTAAGTCTGCGGACTTACAACGCTAGAAACCAGGTTTCGATACCCGTGGTGGGCAAAGCACAGATAGCCCTTGTGTAGCTTTGTGCATAATTAAAACAAACAGAAATTCTTGAAGGTTGCTATAATTGCGGCCAAAAGCTTATAAGATAAGTAAAGAAAAAAGTTGGCATGCTTTTAATATATACATATATATATGGATAGATCAATTACTATATCACAAATAAGACTGTTATGTAAAATTTTGTTTCATTTGTAATGTCAAACATGAGTCAAATCATGATAACAGAAAAACCAGATGTAGTAGATTACAAATTACCTTGAAACTACACATTGTAATTATAATTTTACTTTACGTTTTTTGAGAACTTATTTTATTATAATTTGTTTACAGAGGGTTGAATACATTATAATAAAACGATTTTATAGCCTTACCAAGTCATTCAAGTTCATGTTGACACGCCTGTAAAGCACTCTCAGATAACCATGTATCTTGACAATATCCTTGTAGCATAATTTACATTACAAAAGGCTCATTCGTAAGGCTGTCATGTCCAAAGCTTGCCATTTGTTACTGCAGGCCTTCCATAATCAATCTAGTGTACAATAACGACGATATCCTACTGCCTGCCCAGTCCGATCACCAGAAATTCATAGATGCTGCATCCAGTGACCCGATCAATATTTCTTCGTAAGGAATAATATGAATACCCATTTCATTCTCCAGCTACTTGAAGTATGTTCAAAAATGGTACACGGCATGTCACGAAACTTTTTCAAATAAATTTATGATCATCACTGGATACTGCATCAGTAGCAAGTTAAAGATCAGGAAAGTGTACATAAAGGTCAAGGTGGACTCTTATTACTACCACCAATGGTTTGGACCCTTTGTGCTATACAAAAATACCGGATTTGTACAGTAACGAAGTTAGCAAAGTATGGGCTCACCAAGACAAGGTTTACATTCATACCTCACGTTCAACTGTCATTTTTTTCATCCAATCTCCAATATAAAATGAATCAAGACTTGTTACTGTTATCAAGATACATACACACTTCGACAAGTCTACCTCTTATTGTCATTTCTCCCCGGATAGGTATCTTTCATACAGGTTTTAACAGTTGACTTTTCTTTCCTGGATTTGTTGTGGAAGCAAGTTGTGTAAACGTAACCTGTGTCACTTTTCCAGACGATAAATCCTTATTGATTATGTTGGGTAATGTTGCTACTGGCCTATATGTTCGTGGATTCTCACTTGTTACAAGACGCCGCACTCGTTTACCATTGGTAGTGTATGATTTGTTGCAGATCGCTTTCTGAATGTTCCTGGTGCCCCAAGTTGAACCGTATTCCCTTTGCTTTCTAATACCATTAGATACAAGAAATATCCCCATCTTGGAAATTCTAAATCCAAAATCTGAACATATCTGAATGTATAAGTATTTTGCGTCGGAAAGGGCTGTTACATACATACATACCCTTCCAAAAAGCGATCAGTTTTTGGTGGCATCACACTAGTTAGGAAATGCCAAAGTCAAAATGTAGTTCTGAAACATGATGTTCCACTGCGACTTTAGATTGGCTGTGGTTGTCATGTGACTTGCTGATTTGCATATTTAAAATCATTTTAATATTATGATCTCAGTCCTCTGTAGGTAATAGAAAGGTTAATATTTCTGACAACTTGTCTCATACATAGACAATGACTTTACATGGGAAGGAAGTTTGTCTTCAAATCCTAAACGAGGACAATTCATCAGGGATATCTACTGGTAGCGTTTTACTTCTAATGTAAGTAATGATAACAAATCAGCACCATGAAATTAGTACTATTAATCATCAGGGATATCTACTGGTAGCGTTTTACTTCTAATGTAAGTAATGATAACAAATCAGCACCATGAAATTAGTACTATTAATCATCAGGGATATCTACTGGTAGCGTTTTACTTCTAATGTAAGTAATGATAACAAATCAGCACCATGAAATTAGTACTATTAATCTTCATCAACAACAAGAAAAAAAAAGCCCAATGTGTAGCTTTGTGCTTAATTACAAACAAACAAACAACCGCGAATTATCTGTGCTCTGTCCACCACGGGTATCGAAACCCGGTTTCTAGCGTTGTAGGTCCGCAGACATACCGCTGTGCCACTGGGGGGGGGCAATATTTACGGTCAAAAAAGCAGTTGATGTCCTTATGTTTTTATTAAGTTTTTTCTTTTAATATAAAGTAGCAGAAGATTACAATGTTTTGATTAAATTCGTGTCAATTGATCAAGTAATGACAGTAGGGGTGATTCAGAATAGGGGGTTGCAAGTCCCTTTAAGATGAATTTCCAAACAAATTGACCTTTCGACCTAATAAAGAAAGCAACTTTTTCAAAAACTTTCATGATCAGGTGGAAGAACACTTCCTCCTTTCCCCATTAGTAAAAATTCTACATCCGCCCCTCGACAGTCCAATTAGATATAATGGAAATGACACCCAAAATAGAATCCGAACAATAAACATTTCTGGTAGTTTTGTTTTCGTAGTAATTACTTATTCATAATTTTGGCTTACACTAGATTTTAAAGTATATATTAAAGCCAATAAATTAGCGATCTCTATTTCCAGAATATTCCAGTTTGCCTTACGTCTTCGTTTAATTCTTTCTTTCTAATTAATTCTTCAGACATACTATTGAAAGTGGAAGAAAATAAAATAAATTTGTCTCCCCGACGGGTCAGCGGTAAGCTCATGAACTTAAAATCCGAGGCTCAATTCCCCGTGATTGGCAGAACACAGACAGCCCATTGTGCAGTTTTGTAATAAAAAAAGCTTAGGAGTGCAACAAATTCGTTTTAGAGTCAGAATAAAATTGATTATTCAAATAACATAAATTGTAAACCATGAAGATAGAAGTCGTTTTTTAATATTTTAGAAGTGTGGCAAAATATTAGAAGCACAAGAACGTAAAGTATGGTAAAATCTATATCGTTTGTGTTATACACTATATTCTGCTGAATACAGAATTATTCATCGATTCTTTTATTATTACTTTGTACTTAAACAATTATCTATTCCTTGTAATGCAGATTTTTGATATCGGTTCAAGTCTACCTTACCATTGGAATCCTGTATAATATCTGTATAGTTGGCGCCAAAGGAAAAGAAGTTATACCAAACATCGCGTTTTGGCAAGATGTGCTCTCACTTATCAAGGTGAGTTTTTTTATAACATATAAATGATTCCAAACGTACGCATAGTTCATTTGACACCATAAACACTGTAGAACATGCATACTTAATTAATATAACACCATAACCAATTATGTAACAAAATATGTACTAACTACATTTAACATCATATCCAATTGTATACAACAAAATAAATATCCAGTTCATCTAACATAATATTGAGTTATGTAACAAAATACATATCCAATTAACATAATATTACATTCAGTTACTGCTCACGTGAAAGAGGTTATTTGTAAATAAATTTAGTATTATTAAGATCATAAGTCAACTGCACCCTCATTCATTTACCAGCTTGATCTCCTCAAAAGTAACGGAATGGGGGAAGTGAACTCGTTGCGCAGGAGGCTGAACAAATTTAAATTTGGGATACGTTATTTTCTATGTTAACCATGCCTATTGAATTCAAAGATGAAACAGCGACATTCCTTTATAATTATACTATCGTGATATACAAGACTGTTTGGTTTAAATATTAGTGATTAATTTATATTTGTGAGTGAATATTTTATTATTTTTAAGTTTTGTTATAATAAGAGTTAAAAGCAGACGATTGTAGAAGGTTTTTGTTAATAACTAATTGGTGTCGAGAATATAGAAAGTGGCCAGACGACTATGAAATAAAGATATAAATAACGTGAGATGAGCGAGAAACAGCAGCAGACAGACAACAATAGACAGTATTAGACAGCTAAAAGGCAAATAGAATATAGTTGGTGGGAAGTTAAATAACGTAAAAATGATAGGCCTAACTTTTGATATATATATTAGGGTGCAACTAGGAGTGGAAAAAGAAATAAGAAAAAAATAAGTTTATTCCGTCAAAGCAAAATTCTAAAGTAATTGAATTAGCCTGAGTGCACTTTGACAAAAGGAACATAGGATCTTCAGAAGAAAGAAAACCACAATCGTAAGTGAATCACACCACACTAATAATAATATTGCGATAGCATTGGAGAAAATAGTTCGACTTGTCAACTGAGATTCTAAATTAATTGACCAGGCCTAAGTGGACTTTTAACAAGAAGAAGAGAACTATACATATACTGATATAACGTATACGATATGCTTGTATTCTCTATAGTGTGAACACTTTATTGTACATACGTTTAACTTGTTCCGAATATATATATATATTTGAAAACAAGTATAGTGTGTGCTGTTTATTCATCGTTGAATTTATCGCTAACAAGTCACAGACACCTACTGTAGAAGAATCCTAAGCCCAACAACTACATAGTATATATTACTATTGAGAAATATAAGTGAAAGCCATTTATTTCGACAACTGGCAACAAAAGGAACCCATATACATATATATATATAATATTATTTTTTTAAAATCTGACATATATACACAAGACTACATTCCCCGTTCAAAGGAGAACTTCGCTACCAGATCAAAATTTGAAGGCACGTGGCCCCTATCCCTATGCCTCTATGTGCATTTAGAATAAGTGTTAATATCGCGAAAAACAATATTTACAAAAGGGTTTATTTGTTAAGCCTCTCCTTCGTTTCTCGGTACGTAAACGATTCAGAAATATTGAAATATGTTGCATGGGTAGTGCATATTATTGTTGTGTAGCTTAAATGATACTTATATTTATAGTTTTATCATTCCAAACCTTGTTTTTTTTTCTTTAGTGTGTTGATACTTTAACATTAATTTTATACTTACATCAGTTAATATACCAGGTAGCCTAATGGCTTTTAGCATCTGCAAAGTAAGTCGAGTGACAGATTCTAATTCCTTACGGTCTGAGTTTATTTTCCTTAAAACATGCAAATTATACACATTTCTCAATCAAGTAGAAATACTTCAAATGAAGGTAACAGTTTATTTGTTATTTCACTCGAGGTGTTGTTGTTTTTTTTATTTGTTTACTTCTCTAGGACGGATGTCTCTTCACCTTCAACTGCTGCAGAGTAAATGTAAACTACGACAAGCTGTAGCAAAACCAACCAAAGAAAGGCTCACTCAATTTGAGGAATCAGGACATTACCATTAGAATTGGACCGGCCACAGTCTTTTATCACTAAATTATACCATTCAATTATTTTGAAGTAACATTGAAATGTCTCTCATAAACGTTTAAGATACATATTTGTACATTTTTTGTCTGTATGTACTATGTTTACAAACATTGAATCATTTCCAGATGAAATCAATATATTTTTTCTAAAGTGTGTGTGTGAATAGTTCCAACCGGCGTTTTTCTTCTTTTTTATTGTATCAACAACAGTTGTGAAATGTTCGTTAAAGATTAGATACGTTCTGAAATAATGTTAGCCCGAATCAAATGTATTGTATCAACCATACTAAAAATCAAACTACTACTAAGTTTGGCTGTGTTATGCAAAAGATGTGAGGCTTCTTAGGTCTCTTTTTTATCTAATTTCGGAAAAACTACCAAATTAGCACAACTTGATACAGTGATATAGGATGACATTAGGGAGGTGGACCCCCTTCTAATTTAATATCCGGGGTAGCAGAGTAAAACTATGATATCGTACAAAATACTTTTCCTCATTTCTTGACCAATCAGCAACAAACTAATTCCATATCTAATATCGAAAAACCTATCAATGTTGTATATTCCTTAGCATCAGAATGAACTATGTAACCATAATTGTTAGAATTCTTGAAAACAGTATGTCTTTCTTTTCAGTCTTGGTACCTTTATCTATTTGTATTGCACTTTTGATGTTTATTTGTCAAGAAAAAAAAATAGAAGCACAATTTCCTATCCTTTGTAACAAATAAGTTTATATTTCACCCGTCCAACTGACGGGTACTCCAGCTAGTAGTCAAATGAAGAAGAAAAACGAAATTGTTTTTATGAACACAAGAATGAAGAAGCATGTTTTATTTTTTCATCTATATAAATAAATGAACAAAGAAACAACGAACTTTCTGTTTCTCTTCACTTGTATTAACACAGAAACAAATCAAAGAAACGGGCGTTTTGTTTGCACTTTTGTTAACGTTGTCAAGGAAGCGGGTGTTTTGTTTGTATTTTCATCAACATAAAACGTAGAGAGAAATGAAGTTTTGGTTTCACTTTTTTAAACGCATGAACAAAAATAAACTTGTTTTTTTGTCTTCACTTTTAATTACTACCAGAACTACTTTTAGGAAAACATAGCAAACTGAGAAGATAAATTTGTCGATTTAAAGTAGCACACACTGGTCAAGGACTGAACAATCGTATTAACGTGGATCAAGAATTGTTTGCAAACAGGATTCTGAAAACTTACCGGTAAACACATTTGTTTGTAACAAGATAAAACAATTTTATGATGTTTATTACGTTTTTATTAAATTAGAAATTTTGGGATAAGTTAAGTAGTCACTCCAATAATGTCAAGTACACTCTTCTAATAGTCATTTTTATTAGGACATAAATAATTCGGTATAATGTTTGGAAAGATTTGACAATACATACATAATGATTAAATTTACTGTATAGGTTGTGATGTTCTTTTGTATACTTATACTAACATATTAAAAACTGAGACGAAGAGGCTCTTGTCAATGAGTATATATAGTAGAAAGTGGTCAGGAGCAAACGTAAAAAATAGAAGTTCCCCCTCCACAAGGGCTATATATATAGGGCTCTATTTATATATTGCATAAAACGGTTTTGAAAGTTGGCCAATTAATTAGCCTGCTTAGTGATGCTGATCAAATTATCATGGGACTTTTTCAGATAAAAAAGATGTAAGTTTATAAAATTCAAGAGAAAAGTACCACCAAGCTGCCACATCACCAATTGTGAAGACAATTTTTTAAAATATTTTATATTTTCAGGTGCCCTGTTTTATATGATTCATAATATTTGTTTTTAGACGAAATGCTTTTTTTGGTTCACATCTCTTTGTTTTCCAGTTGCTATTAAAAAATAGTTTGTATTTTCTGGGACCTCGGAGCAAAGTGGCTTGATGCCCTCCCTCTTCTCTGAGTTGCCCAGAAAGTCTACAAAACTTAATACATGTAAATTAAAATAGGATAGTCACTTTTGTGTAATAAAATGCTCTAAGATTTATAGTTACTGTAAATTTCTTTTTAACAATTTCTTATCCCCTGATGGGTCAACTATAAATTTATGGACTTAAATGCTAAAATCGATTTCTCACGGTGGACAGAGCACAGAGAGCTTATTTTGTTGTTTTGCGCTGGAAAAAACAAACAAAAAGAACACAATTTATTATATTATACTCATTTCGAAAAGAAATAATATATCCAATAACTTAATTTTCGTTTTCTACAGTAGTTTGATTATTTTTTGTCAAAGCATAAAACATTTCCTGTGTTATTAGAAAGGATAAATTAGGAAAGTACAAGCAAATAAGTATGCACGGTATAAAGGAAATACAATAAGCAGTTTTGATACTTCTGTCTGAGTTGTTTTGAAAAGAACTATAAGGCCATAGAAAAGTTGTGGTTCATAAGTATAAGACAACTTGTTGTACATTTATGCAACCTGCTTTTGTTGTCGTTGTTTAATGATGATGCTTAAGAAAAACGACATTATAATTTGTTTTTAGTAGCAGCGCATCAAACTTGTTTATAAACGCCCAAAAATGTTTAACTGTGAAAAGTAAGCTTTATCTATTTCTTTAAAATGATATTTCATGCTTAAACAAGTTTGAGGTCTTTAGAGAATTGACATTAATGTATGCAAACATTACAAAGAAAAGTGACCCTTCACAGTAATTTTGATCATGATGTAAAAATCATATTAAAGTATTTATTACTGTGCGTCTTTGAAGGTATAAAAACGTACACTGTCTTTTAGTAACAGAAAATAAAGTTCTTGAACATTTTTGATTTGGATTCCAGCTTTAGTCTTTTTTTGTTATTTTCAAAAACCACCCTATGGCTCAGTGGTCAACTTGAGAGTTTAAGATACTAAGATAGGGATCTCAATCCCTGCAATAAGCACAGAGCAGATGGTCCGTTTAAAAAGTTAGGATAACATTTAGTATTTGTAGCGCCAACAAAAAATAAATTGTTTTACATTTTTTAAATTTCTGTGATAAAAATTATTAAGTACGGTAGTACATAATAGTAGGAATCGTCATGTAACAAAATGGCGGCTATAAAATTCGCCCGTTTAAAACCACCTTTAAAATGTCTGATTATTAACAATCACTATTTCATAGTATTGGCTAAGCAAAACTAAAGCTTATTGTACTTATAAAACCGCCTAAATCGCTATTTACGTGTTTATGGAGTGAATCAAACTATCACTATTTTAACAAAATTTTCATCTAGGTAAGTATGTAAGTGACTCTTCCAGACAAGCGTACAGAAAAAATGACGAACCTTATTGCTTTAATTATTTTACAGAACTCTTCCGTTTGGGGTTCCAATGATTCCTTTATTGTAACGAAAAGGATATTAGTATATTATATACATATAACGAACAATGCGCTACTTGGGGCATATAACTAGATTTGACGGTAGGTTGGAAGAGGAAACAAACAAGTATAATAGCTTTTTTATTATATAAAGACAGGTAGGAATCGATATATACGTGACCTAGCTTGCTGTAGTAATATAGAAGGTTTTAATGCTACAAAATATTTTGAAACAAAAACGTCAAAACTACAAAACTGAGTTACTTAAAATTTTAAAAAAAATTCCTACTTTGGCCCATTCTAACGTAATTACAGTGATTTGAGAAAATAGGGATAACATTTTTTAAGTTTCATGTAACCCAATTTTTATTGTTTTGATTTTCTTGTTTCAGTACATTTTGTAGCATTAAAACTTTCTATATTAATACAGCTAGCTAGGTTACTTATATATCGATCCAAACTTGTCTTTATAGAATTAAAGAAAAAATTATTATACTGGTTACCTCCACCGCCGAAAGTGACGGAGGTTATGTTTTCATCCCTGTGTGTGTGTGTGTGTGTTTTTGTCAACAGGATTTATCGAAAACAGTTGAATGGATTTGGACAAAAGTTGGTATACATTTGGACTATGACCAAACTTAAAAGTATTAGTTTGGAGAGTCAAGATCACAGAAAGGTTACGAAAATCCAAAACATCTCTATCTGTTAACATAGAGACCGATTTTCACACTATTTTTGCTCTATAACACAGTAAAAAATAATCAGATTTTGATGAAACTTGGTGGAGATATGTAGAATGTTATTCCTCGTTGTCCTGCCAAAAATGGTCCGTTTCCGTTGATAACGACGGACATACGGAGACATTTTCGTATTTTTTGAGAGATGAATATACTCAACGCTACTCTACTGAGTACCCTTCCAGTTGATACTAAAAAAATACACATTTTCACATTTGTCTTTTTTTTCGTTTTTGTTTTATACATACATATATGTATAAAACTTTGTTAAGAAAGAGGGCTGAGTACGTTATATTAAAATGGAAAACAGTAAGTCATGCGACAACTACAGCCGATATAAAGTCTCAGAGGAATTGCATGTATCAGAATTACATTGCGACATTGCTTGGATTTTGTAGGTAGTGTGATGTCAATGAAAATTAATAACTGATTCAGACTTTCCAATATGAGGATATGTTCTTAACTGAAATAAAGGAGTACGGATCAACTTGGGAGCACCATGGCCATCCAGAAAGAAACTGGCAACTGGTAGGGTCGTACTCAAGTCATGGTAAACAAAGTACAGCATGTTGTAACAGGTGAAAATCCAAGAACACAAAGGAGTGGGAAAAGCCGTTCAAGTGCTATACACAACAATACGCAACATAACCAAAATTTTTCCGTCTGTAGAAGTAACACAAGTCACACGTACGCTAGTTGTTTCCACAACACATTTTTTCAATTATCGCATACCTCAACTAGCTGAAGAATGAAATGGGAATTTATGCTATTGTACACGGTCAAGTTACCTGGTGCAGAGCTTATGGATTTCTGTGCAATCGTACGATTGAATGGGCGGAGAGAAACTATCGTTTTTGTAAAACAGATGGCTTATGGAAAGAAAACTTGAAGGGAGGAAAGATATATTTTAGACATAGCACTCTTACGACGGAACATTTGGAAATAAATTATCAAAGCTATTATCAATATGCACAATAATTAGATAGAGCATGACCGGAAGTGGTAACATGAACTGTGACGGCATAATAAATCTCCAAAATCGTTTTAAGATTACGTACTTGGCCTATGTATATAGACTTGACATATCTTCTGCTTTAAAAGATGTTAAATTTTAAATTTTTTGAGGAACTTACGTACAAAATCCATAAAGTTCACGAAATGAGTTATACACATTTTTTTTTGTATTTTATTGAAGCATATCTAACTCTTTTTAATGAATGTCTGGTAATTTAAAAAAAATGATTTGATATGCTTTAATTTAACAGCTTTTATATATGCTGAACTTTTCAATATAGGTCAAAGAAATAACTTATAAGTTTATATTTTGCTACTTTTGGTTATAAGATCTCAGCTAGAATCAGTATGGTTTTTAATCTCGCTGCGAAGACTCTAGATTTGAAAGACGAGTGATGAAACCTGATCAGTAGTGAAAATGGGATATGAAAAACTACGGAAACCCTATGACAAAGAAGGAGGAGCTCTTTCATTCGAGATGCAATACCGGATATGGAGCTGGAGGGTAACTAATTGATAAATGTGCATATATATTGCTCAAACTAATAAAAATGTTTGTTTATTGTTAAGTACACAAAGCAACACAATGGACTTTCTGTATCCTGCCTACTGCGGGTATTAGAAATCGAATTTTAAGTTATAAGCTCCCAAACTTACTGCTGATCCATCGGGGGCGCCATGAAAGAGTTCAAAGGTTCAGAATCACTAACCAAGTTAGTATTACTATGCCCCTGCGGATGCCCATGTCCTCATATAACAGCTTTTCCATCCCATGTATCATCCTAGTAGCTCTCCTCTGAGCCCTTATC